ATCACAGTGTTTAATTATGATATAACATGTGTTATATAATCATAAGTATAAATATTACACGAGTTATTCGTGTAACACATTTCGATCATATTACAAAATGAACATCTTCATCAGGTATTTCGAAGAAAAACAATCCGTTGTTTAACATGATGACCACCCTTGATTTGAAAACATACCAAAAGAAATTCAATGCCAAGGCTTCGCATGATATAATAATCTTTTCTACATTTGGTTTAGTTATCTCGGGCGAAAAAATGCAATGTGGCATTTCTTATTATCACAATTAGTCATCGTTGTCTGTAAAATATGCTCATACATAGCTACAACACATACTCGGGGAATATTGAAAGTATAAATTTGTAATTACTGATATTTCATAATAATTTAATTACTACTGTTTTATGGTTTATAGGGCACATTTGTGAATACCGTAGCTATTTTGAAATATAAAGCATATTACTCTGCGATTGACGAGTATAATCGTCACGGTTCCATTCTGACGACATAAAAAAATGAAATAAAAATTGTGCATGTTTAAATGAGAGCGCCGCAGTTAACTGGTTTAATATCAGCTGGCGTAATATCAACATTTTAAGCAAATATAATTATAATTTTTCAGGTTCTTCCAGAAGTTACTCATACTACTGCTTTAGTAAAAGCAATTCTTCCAGAAAATGGTCCTTTTTACATATGCACTCGCAAAGCAGCAGATGACGGCTTTACTCCTTTCATACACCAAGGATCTGACCCTTGGCTTTTAATTGATACTTACACTCGTCCAATTCCTTTATGGGCTTCCATACTGGTTATTTTGGTGTGTCTATTTTTTTCCGCATTATTTTCTGGCCTAAATCTTGGATTGATGGCCTTAGATCGAACTGAATTGAAGATCTTGTGTAATACTGGGCAAGAGGCTGAACGACGTCATGCTAGGGTAATTCAGCCTGTGAGGGACCATGGAAACTTTTGTTGTGTAGTATATTGTTAGGAAATGTTCTGGTGAACTCAACGTTTACTATTTTACTTGATGATCTCACTTCAGGATTAGTTGCAGTTATATTTTCAACTTTGGCTATAGTCGTTTTTGGAGAAATCACTCCGCAGGTAATAAAAATGATAATATTCATAATTTTAAATTCAGCAGATTTTTATTAATCTATCTAATCACAATCTATATATTTTATAATTTAGGTTACTTACTATAATTATGGTTTTGGTTTCCAGGCAATTTGTTCCCGGCATGGTTTAGAAGTTGGAGCAAGAACAATATATATTACAAAGGCTGTGATGGTTTTAACATTCCCTTTATCTTATCCAACTTCAAAGTTGCTGGATTGTTTACTTGGCGAAGAAATCGGAAATGTTTATAACAGAGAACGTCTAAAAGAATTAGTCAAGGTGATTAAGTACCCATGATTATTGTGCAATTGTTATGATTATATAAAAATTGCCATTCAGATTTAAATTTATATACATAATCGATTTTTCAAATCTCACCATAAATGAATTACGTATGCAATTGCAAAAGATTTGTGTTCATTTCATGGCAATGAGATACAATTCACAGTTAACATCTATATAAAAAAACTTCCACAGAATTTCATGGAATTTATAATCGTATCATCTCACAAATTATACAATGATGCATAGATTTATTTGATTTTCAGGTGACAACTGACGTAAATGATTTGGACAAGGACGAAGTAAATATTATATCTGGAGCGTTAGAATTGCGCAAGAAAACAGTATCGGAAGTAATGACTCGAATTGAGGACGTGTTTATGTTGGATTATGAATCAATCCTTGATTTTGAAACTGTATCTGAAATTATGAAATCAGGTAACAATGAATTATATGATTAATAACAACGATTTTTATTCATTTTACTTTTTTGTTCAGGTTATTCGCGTATTCCCGTATATGAAGGCAATCGCGGCAATATTGTAACAATGTTGTATATTAAGGATTTGGCTTTTGTGGATCCTGATGATAATACTCCTTTAAAAACTCTTTGCCAGTTTTATCAAAATTCTTGCAATTTCGTCTTTGATGATGTCACACTGGATGTTATGTTCAAACAATTTAAAGAAGGTGAATATTTCCTTATACTTAATTGTTTCTCTAAGAAGCTGTTTATATTTTGGCCTGACAATTCGGTTTGGTGATTTTATGTTTTCTCGACGTTGCTAGTCATTCAGAATTGTTTTGAATAATATACGTGTGTGTATGTAAGCAAAAATTTGAATTTTGGTTGACTTCTTCTCAAAAAGGCTGCATCGATTAAAAAAAATTAAGTCACTTGATAAATTTCATCTTCGCAAGTAATTCAGTAAATTAGTATTAGTTTGGCTCAAATTATTGAAATTTTAAGGAAATAAGGGACATATGGCTTTTGTACATCGCGTCAATAATACTGGAGAAGGCGATCCATTTTATGAAACCATTGGTTTGGTAACATTAGAAGATGTCATAGAAGAATTGATACAAGCGGAAATCATGGACGAAACGGATGTTTATAGTACGTGAAAATATTTGATTAATTTTTGATTATTTTTTTTTATTTATGTGTATTTTCTGTAGCCGATAACAGATCCAAGCGCCGAAGGCACAATCACAAAATAACCAAACAAGATTTTACTGGATTTGCGGAACGACGTGACAATCACAGGATTCATATTTCGCCTCAGTTAACTTTGGCTATGTTCCAGTTTCTCACTTCCAGTAAGCAACAACACTGTAATATTTGTTTGTTTAACATAAACCGGGAGAATATTTTTGAAATTTGCTACAGATTATTTTAGATCTGAAGCGCATTCGCAATTTCAAACGATATCACACATACTTACCTAGTAAAGTTTAAAACTTCTTGTTTCGTCGTTTTATACTTGATGCAGTTATTTTTATCTAATTTGGAGTACGTATGGTTATTTCAACCCGTTTATTATATACATATGTGTTTGTTTTATTTTTAGCTATCGACGCTTTTAAGTCTGACCAAGTGTCGGAAACTATATTGCGGAGACTTCTCAAACAAGACATCATTCATCACATCAAAATTCGAAACAAGGAAAAAAATGATGATGGAATGGTTATCTACGAAGAAGGAAAACCGGTGGGTATCCGAATTGAAAACAAATGCTTCCTAGAAGTGATTGTTAGACACTTTGTTAAATTTTGCAATTCAAATTTTAATTCACAATATTACAGACTTTGTTCTTATTTTACGAGCTATTTTTATTTATTTATTACTATAAATTGCATTGAGAAGTAGTACTCAATCGAAATGATTTTGTTCTCCGAAATCCGCGTTTTGTACATCTCACATATACTGAAAATAATTAGTCATGGTTATACTGTATTCACAAGCCTACATTTATTTTGATTTTAAAATATACATGTTTTAATTATTTAACTACTAGGAATTCCACTGTAAATTAGTTCTAAATCAAATTGTTATATTAAGTAGATACATAAAAAAGATATTACTTTTCGAATTTTTGGTTTTCTTTCACCAAAGTACTGCAACTAATTAACTATATACTTGGTGAAGCTATAGGATATTTTAAGCTAGATTTTTAAATAATTTTGTTTTATGTTTAGATGGATCATTTTGTACTTATATTAGAGGGTCGTGTTGAGGTAACTGTCGGAAAAGAAAATTTAGTCTTTGAGAGTGGTCCATTTACTTATTTTGGTCTTCAAGCGATTACACAAAATATTGGAGTTGGTGAGCTATTTATTAAAAAATTTATTTGTAATATTATATTTATGGTATTTTTCTTATTTTACTTTATTTCAGCCGATTCTGTAAAAGGATCTATGCAATCGTTAAATATAGATGGTATATTAAAAAACAGTTTTATACCAGACTATACAGTACGGGCTGTGACTGACTTGGTTTATATTTCTATAAAGAAACCTTTATATTTGGCCGCCAGAAAGGCTACACTTTTGGAGCGCGCTCAGCGAGATAATAGCGCCAATGATCAAGATGTGGACCATGAAGTGGAAAAGGTATAGAATATTCAGTAAAAATGTACATTTTTTCAAATCATTATGCCAGCTTTATGTTAGATATAGATTAAACTGCTTCTATATTTTGTTGTTTCGTTAAAGTTGTTGCATTCGCTGGATGAAGAAGACACGAACATGACAAATGTCGAAATAGAAACTAATCACAAGTCAAACTCCAAAAATTTCTATGGCAATCAAAATTCTATAATGGTAATTCTTTACAAGTATATTTGTAGTTATATGTATTAAGTATTATATTTTTTTAGGTGTTACCGAGTATATTAGAACCACCAAAAGAATGTCATGAAAACACAGCTTTGCTTCATGATACGATTAATTCATTATGACACACGGTGTCTCATGCTATCTGATAGCATTACTTAAAATAGTGCACTTATTATTACTTAAGATGTCTAGCTTTAATCGTTTACTTATTTTTAATGAAGTACTTATGTTAATTTAAAGTTTTTAGTGCTTTGTTGACTATATATATATATACAAATGTTCCAGTTTTCATTACAAATTTTATATATTTATGAATTTTAATACATATAAGACTTCAAATATTATGCCAAAGCATTAATATTTGTTTTATTTACAAGGTGTTTACATAGCATATATATAATGCATTTTTAGATCATACTTTCCAAGGAACAAGAAATCACCAATGTAAGTGTCATATTATATTTTATCTACATAACAACTCTATTATGTTTAGTGCTCTAAAAATATAAAGATTTATATGTAAAATGATAAATTTACATCAGCAGGCAGTAAATCCTCCATCAAGAGGCATTGATGTTCCTGTAATGAGTGATGACTGATCGCTGAGCAAAAATAAAACAGCGTTTATCACTTCATCAACTTCTCCGAATCTGGAAAATCAATTGATTATATTTTATTTATCTTTTTATAATCAATGACAAAAATATTTTTTTTTTTAATAATTACCGTCCAAGTGGTATCTTGGATAACATAGTCTTAGATTTTTCTGGGTCACTCCAACCTAAGCGACCCATATCAGTCATTATAACAGTTGGGTTTACACTGTTAATCCTGATGCCATGCCTACCAAGTTCAAGAGCAGAAGATCTGGTCAAGCCATCCAGGGCTGCTTTGGAACTGCAATAAACAGCATGGTCTGCCAGAGCTGCCTGGGGTGGAATAATTTAGAGATTGAATATCAAGTATTAGTTGAAAGATGTATAAGTAATTTTTTTAATCTAAATACCTCACCATAGCTGCTTGAGAAGAAACGTTTACTATAGAACCTTTCAAATGATTGTCAATCATCTTTTTGGATGCAATCTGTGTTACATTCAAGGCAGCTTTTACATTTACAGAGAAAGTACTGAAATTTAAATAATTTTTTATTAAAAAAAAGATATTTTTAGCTTAGTTTTCTTCAATTAATTAATTACCTGTCGAAATCTTTCTCTTCCAATTCAAGAATAGGGCGAAGTACAGCAACCCCAGCGTTGTTAACGACTCCGTGAGGTGCAGGAAGAGATTCTAGGGCAGTTTTGGTCGCATCCCAGTCTCGTAGATCAACTGCCACAATGCATATTGAGGGCGCTTCCATTTGTAGTGTCTTAAGACGATCGTAACTTTTGGAAATAGCGACTACTGATGCATTCAAAGTGTTCAGGTGTAAACATAGTGCTCGACCTATGCCTGTAGAGAGGACAGATAATTCACGATGGGTGAGTTGAGACATATGTTTTATTTTTATTTAAAACTTACAATCAGAACGTATTTTGAATTAGAAATTTAAAAAAAAAATTAATATCATAGTAATATTTATTATACACATCAAAGTGAAATATTTTTACCAAAATATATGTTAAATTATTTTTGTTATTTCTTCGTAAGAACTCAGGTTTCAATCTACACCTTAAGACCTAATTTTGCTATATCTTAGGAGATTTGGTGACTTTAACACATTGCTATTACCAATAGAAAATGATACCTTTTGATATTAGGTTGTTAAATATTTCCCTTCGCTTTTTGCTCTTGGTTATAATACAAAAAGGCGGAAGGGAGATATTTGACAACCTTATATTTCTATGTATCTAAAAAGTTCGTTCTTCTCATATGAAGAGAAGAAGTTGTCTTTCTCATATGACAACTTATATATAATTTATTATATTATCTATTTTTCAAAAATTTCTCACCAAATTTCCTACCATATAGTTGGTAGAATTAAACAAGTCTATGATTTTGAAGCCCGAGATTCATATGAACCCTTACAATTAAGATACGTTGCATATAATGTGTACAAATATTGTCTATATATATATATATATATATATCAGAAGAATATAGAAAATATATAGACTCTAACTCTTACAACTTATCCTTAAAATTTATTATAAAGAAGTTTCAGTTTTATAAAGATTACAATAATCATTTCAGTTTTATACAAGGACCTGTAATATTTAAATTTTATTTCAAAAACAATTTTTCATTGAAAACTAAATAAAATTTAAACAAATTTTTTATTTGATTTGTTTACATAAATTTTTCATTGAATACTTAAACACTTGAGCATATTGCTTTTTTTATTAAAAATTTACCTGCACCAGCTCCCGTTACCCATATTTGTTTATTTTTAAAAAATCTTGCATTTCAAAAAATATTTATGCACGTATGATATTCAAGATTTTTTACCAGCGATTAAGATAAGAATTTTGGACACCACTACATACAAATAACTCTTCTAAATGTACAAATTAAATCACATAGAAGTTGGAATCGAATAATATATTTCTTTGGAAAATCTATATAATAAATAAATATCTTTCCACGTATACAAGTATTTTCTATCAACTGTTCATAGTGCAGGCTTAATATAAGAATTTTATCGCACAATTTATATTGGTTTTATATACAACTTGACACATTGACATTGAATGTTTGTAAACCGAAACTGTAGATCGCTTTTGCTAGTGTTGTCGATAAGAAAAACGTTGCTGTTTCGATATTCACTTGTTAATTTATTAAATCCTCAAATATTGTAACACTTTCAATTTAATGTTCAATTCATTTCTTTCCTTCACTTACTAACTTTCCGAAGAAGTTTTTTTGGATAGCAAATCTGATTTGCTATTTTTATGTTTTCTTGATGTTTGGAGTCATTTGAGAAAAAAAATCGGAAAAATTAGATAAAGCACAAAATATTTTTGCACAACTCTTCTGAATTTTATGTTCCAGTTTGTAAAATGAAAGATTTATAAATCGTTGCTTTTTTGTATTGCCTTAGAAGATTTTCATATATCGATAATATATTCTAAATATATTATATATATATATATATATACACACACACATATATATATATATATATATATATATATATATATATATATTTAAAATATTTGTGAATAAACATTAGAGTAAGTTTACAAGTGTATTAATGTTTAAACACAATAAATTCTACATAAGTTATAGGCAAATAATACTTAACAGTTCATTAAAATTTTATGAATATGTTCGCATTTAATCAATATTACAAACTATACATAAAATTTACAACAATATTTCTCATTTATTTCTAGTCCAGACATAAAGTACTATGCTTTCCAAGAAGTAACAATATTTAATTACGACAAATGTGTTGTTTTTCACGTTTTCTCATTTTAAATTCATGGAAACAGATTGCTTTTGCGATCTTCTATAAAGAAATCGGAACCATGAAAATTGGGATGAATGGGGTGTATAAATAATCATTATGTAAATACCATCGGTGAAGCCTTTTTCTGTACCCATTGGGGGTGTTGTTTAAGATTTAATAAACGTTGGCCATCCAGAGGCCAAGAGGTGATGATCTTTACAGATACTTGCATTTTTATTAGATTTTCATTTATTTTTTTTTATTATGAAATCCAAATCTTCTAAAACTTAGAGTTGTTGGTTCAGTTTACAAGGGAATTGCATTTATTCGGATTATTCTAAGAGAATGAATCAACATGTATTCGAAATAATATTTTTATAATTAAATATCTGAACAACTAGTGGGGCGCATGGATTTGTGCCTTAAGGCAAATTGCTGGAACTTCCCGTACCATTTTTTTTTAAGATTAACATTTTTGAAAAAAATTTACTCTGAAAAAAATAGATTTTTGAGAAACTATAAATTTTTGACAAAAATTTACTTTTTTTCGTAAAAAAAGACTTTTTGTAGAAAAATTTATTTTGAAATATTTTGGAAATTCTGAACTTTTTTTCAAAGCAATCGTACTGCTTTAACTGCATAGAGACGAAATAGCGAAGCATATCTTCGGAAGGGCTAGACCTGCCTTCGCCAAAAACTAATCAGCACGTCTCCTTATCAATACGAATCGAGTGTTTTTGAATTATTCAAATTGCTTCATCCGTGTTCCCGAAATCGTCGACGAAAGTATGTATCCACACACACACACACATGCACACACACACATACATCCATTTTTCTAAGGTATGCCAAAATATTCAGAAACCTTTGAAACGTGAAGATATATATATATATATATATATATATATATATAATAATTAAAGTTACTACGGGAAGTTAATAAAATTCTTAATCAAAAGTCAGTAAAAATCGACCATAAAATACATGATTGATTAGTTATCGAGCTGGATGGAAAATTATTGGACAATCCAAATAAGGATTTGTGGTACAGTACAAAACTGAGGGTTGTATGTATTTTCCACACACACACACACATGCACACACACACATACATCCATTTTTCTAAGGTATGCCAAAATATTCAGAAACCTTTGAAACGCGAAGATATATATATATATATATATATATATATATATATAATAATTAAAGTTACTACGGGAAGTTAATAAAATTCTTAATCAAAAGTCAGTAAAAATCGACCATAAAATACATGATTGATTAGTTATCGAGCTGGATGGAAAATTATTGGACAATCCAAATAAGGATTTGTGGTACAGTACAAAACTGAGGGTTGTATGTATTTTCCACACACACACACACATGCACACACACACATACATCCATTTTTCTAAGGTATGCCAAAATATTCAGAAACCTTTGAAACGTGAAGATATATATATATATATATATATATATATATATATGGAGGTGTGGTCCATATTAAATACCAAAATGATAGACAATAATAAATTTCATAAAATATTATTTATATTTCGTTTATTTTATATATGATTAATATCCACGACACTATGTGTTGTCATACTGATCATTAATAAAACGTTATTGGTATTTTCTTATTTATAATAGAAAAGAAAGGTTTCAAGAATTATACATTTTTTTGGCAAAAACTACTCAGGGAGAAACAAAAACCAAGTACGATCTGACACTTGAATTTCCTTTTGTTTTTCTCAGTGCTGTCACTATATGGGCCAATCTGTCCAGAGACATGTGATGCGTGTTGACAAGCCGCTATGCGTGTTGGCAACCCGCTACATATATATATATATAATAATTAAAGTTACTACGGGAAGTTAATAAAATTCTTAATCAAAAGTCAGTAAAAATCGACCATAAAATACATGATTGATTAGTTAT